GTTATCAAAACTGTCATATGAGTTTGACTTTCATAATAAACGACAGTTATCAACTTTATATTATTTATAAAACATCTTTATTGCACAAAACCAGCTTTTAAGCTAAAAAAACTCTTTTATTGTTAAAACTTTGAAAAACATTACAAACAACATATTATACAAAATATGCAATCGAATAAAAAAATCTGCATCGGCATTGACCTTGGCACGACCTACTCCTGCGTGGGCGTCATCCAGCACGGCAACGTGGAGATCATCGCCAATGAGGAGGGCAGTCGAACCACTCCCTCCATGGTGGCCTTCCACGCTGACCACGACCCGCTGATTGGAAACAGTGCCAAAAATGAGGCGGCCCTCAATCCGGAGAACACCGTCTTTGACTCTAAACGACTCATTGGTCGGTGCTTCGACGATCCAAACGTGCAGGAAGACATGAAGTCCTGGCCGTTTACGGTGGTTAGCGACGCTGGACGGCCGCGCATCAAGGCGACGCACCAGGGAGGCGTCAGGTACTTCCCACCGGAAGCAATCTCCTCGATGGTGTTGGCGAGGATGAAGGAAACGGCCGAGGCGTATCTGGGCACCACGGTAACCAATGCCGTCATCACCGTACCTGCTTATTTTTCGAACGCTCAAAGAGTGGCGACAAAGGACGCCGCCGTCAGCGCCGGTCTCAATGTGTTGCAGATGATCAACGAGCCGACGGCGGCGGCCATCGCCTACGGCTACGAGAAAGTCGAGGGCAAGAAGAACGTGCTGATCTACGACCTGGGCGGCGGCACCTTCGACGTCTCCGTTCTGACCATCGTCAATGGCAACTTTGACGTCCGCTCCACCTCGGGAAACACCCACCTGGGCGGAGAGGACTTTGACAGTCGCCTGGTGGGCTACCTGAGGGAGGAGTTCAGGCGGCAGTTCCCCGCCAAAGACCTGTCTACCAACAAACGGGCGCTCTCCCGGCTGCGAACTGCCGCCGAGAAGGCCAAACGAGAGCTCTCCTTTGCCTCGCAGGCTTCCGTTATCATCGACTCACTCTTTGAGAGCATCGACTGGAAGGTGGATATCACGCGGGCTCGATTTGAGGCCCTATGCTCAGACCTCTTTTCCAAAACACTGGAACCAGTGCAAAAAGCGCTGAGGGATGCCAAGTTGGATAAAAGTCAGATTGACGAAGTTGTTCTTGTCGGTGGCTCAACGCGCATTCCTAAAGTGCAGAAACTGCTTCAAGACTTTTTCAATGGAAAACGACTGAACAAGTCGGTGAATCCTGATGAAGCGGTCGCCTATGGAGCTGCAATTCAGGCGGCAATTCTAGGCGGCGACAATTCACTGCCCCTGTTGCAGGATCTTCGACTGACTGACGTGACGCCCTTTTCACTTGGAATTGAAGTCAAAACTGACGACATGGCAATTGTCGTTGATCGCAATACTACAATTCCGGTTCAAAAGAATCAAACATTTGTGACTCAGTTTGACAACCAAACTGTTGTTGCCTTTAATGTTTATGAAGGAGAACATGCAAAAACTACTGAAAACAATTTGTTGGGCCATTTTATGATTCAAGGCGTTCCACCGGCTCCAGCAGGTTATGAAATGTTTGATGTCACTTTTGACATTGACAAAAATGGCATACTCAACGTTGCAGCGGTAAATAAAAGTACTAAAAAACAAAACAATATTACAATTGTTTTGAACTGGAAATAATAAAAGATATAAATTTTGTCTAAAAACAAAATATTTTTTTAAACTAATATTTTAAAATAAAAATTAAAAATTCCAACAAAAATATTTTATATAATTTAATTTTATAATTGTGTTAATAATTAAAATTAAAATTTTTTAAAAAAAACAAGGGTTAACATTAATATAATTATTTTAAGTTAAAGTTAATGATAAAACCTCGCAACAACAAATTTCCAATGAAACGTTTTTCTAACTTATATGACATAAACAATAAAATATTTTACAATCCTTATCAATTTTTTATTTCTTTTTAATCCCTACAAACATTTTTTTATAACTTGCAAAAAGTTGTTTTTACATTAAAGTCAATCATTGACTCTGTTTAGCTTATGTGTAGTTTACAAATTTACAAGTTGTCTTTTTAACTTTTTTGTTTTTAATTTGTAACTTTTTACTTATATTTTTTAAAATGTCATCTAATAACGTTTGTATTGGAATTGATCTTGGCACAACTT